CATTATTTTTTCCAAAAGGAACTTTAACGCATTTTGGATAGATACTGTAGGCATATATTTATCTCTCCTCCATATTGGCAGGTGTAATGTACCATTCCCCAAGCAATTAAAAACATATCACAATTCACATAATATTATAGTTTATAGTTGATATGATGATAGTTATATTTGTGTCTAGGAAGCTACTGGGACTTCAATAATTAGAGTAAGCAAATAGGAATCATTTAAGACTTAAGTTAATGCTGTGCTAAGATTAATCTTTTCACTGTGAAGAAACTTCATTGAACACACAAGGTCATTGGCTAATGCTACTGAATGGGACTTTGAACTAAGTGTGTCTTCTCTCAAAGAACACAACTGCACTGTAGTTTGTGGGCTGAGAAGTTCCAAATCTCAAATCTTATTGTATAATATGAACTTTATAATATATACAGCTTGAACCCAACACAACTAGACACACACACTTTTTCTTAAATATATATAAGAGACACAGCCATGTTATCCATGCTTCAATATACATAAGCCCAGTTCATTTACACAGAGACAATATAATTAAGATTGCTCCCAGTTTGTCCAGTTCAAGTCATTAGTACTGGACGATGTTGACAGGGACTTGTTTAACCTAAATTAATTTCAATCATTTTAGAAGTGGCATTTTAAAACATATTTGACACATGAGGAAAATGTATGGGAGAGAGGAGGGACGGTAGTTGATCTAGCAAAGAGAATGTTGGCTATCTAGCTCTGGGAGCAAGCCATGCCACTTTCTGGCATACTTTCAGATATGTCATGCTTGCATCACAACATGCTTTGATCACAAAATAAAAGAACTTAAAGGCCAAAGCCAACAGCAGAGGTACATCCACTGTGGATCTTTAGAGATGCAAAGAGTTGCAGTAACTTCTCACAGTTGGATCATATTAATAATACCAAACTGACAGGAAGCCACCTCCAATTTCACACATCTACTAAAAAATTCCAAAAAATATGACTTTGGAAAGATTGCTGGATAATACATACACACGCATGCACACACACGATTAGACACAAACATGACAAGGATGACCGCCACAAGGACAATTAATGCATGGGGAGATGAACAAGTAGTCATCTTACTAGTATGATTTTAACAATACTGTTTTGGAGAACACACTATTGAAATACTATGTTGAAATTATTAACTCCCCACAAGAAAGTAAATAAAACGAAAAGATTTAATGACGTTGAGGAGGATTTAGTCATGCTTCATGCAACACAAAACAGCAGCAAAACAGGATGAAGTGGCACTACTGCATATTAAGAAATATGACCGAACACACTGGGAAAAGGAGGAAAAAGCCCGGAGTCCATCTCAGTAAACAGTACTCAGTCAGCAAATAAGATCCAATGATCTAACAATTTATTAAAAGTGTCCTAAGTCTTTACTGAGCACTTCCCTGGAAATAAGCTACTTAAGAGTTTATTACCAAAATAGGTGTAAGAAAAGAAGTACAAGAGCTTGGTCTCTCTTTTCATGGATTAAAGGATTTCTGCTCTGTAAACTGTAAGCTGTACCGAGGGAGGAGGAAGGCAGCGGTAACATGGATGTGATATGTAGACAAAACAGCAGCAGACTTTGATAGACACCAAGAACAACACATCAGGACAATACAGAAACGAACACACAGGGCTGGAGAGACACATTCTCCTTCTCGACTCGAATGCTATTTGTTCTCGTCTTTGGTGCCATAACTGAAAAACAGTACTACGCCTTTGCTTTTTTGTTCTGTTTCCTGCAAAGAAGTTAGTGCATCATCCAAACGTATCAACAAATCAAACAACAGTAATAGGCTGCTTTCAATTTTGGGGTAATCTAGCTGGTGGAGAGGGGTTTATATATAAATATGCATATGCATATATATGAAACAATATATATGTATATATACTATAGACAAGGGGGCCTGAAATTATATATATATAGATAGGTAACATTTATATATATATTCGAGGTTGGTGTTATCTTGCTGAATTCTTGGCAAATGGTTAGTCCTGTGGTTAGGAGAGAAGGTAGGGTGGAGGTTGGAAGGAAAGTTAACGAAGAGTGCATACCGCTTTCGGCTTCTGCAAAACGACAAGAAAAGAATTGAAAATCAAACAATTTGATAATAAATTGACTGACACTAGAAGGAAAGAATAAACAAAACCTTTGTTTCAAAATCTTGGAAAGAGGTATGTGAAAACAAGGTTTTTCTGCAAAGCATGAAAACAGTAATGGGGAGTGAATACAACCACAAAGAAGGCAGTTAAACACAGGTTAAAGGCCAGGGAATCAAAAGGACAAGCCACCAAAACAAAACAAAACAAAACGCCCTCCCTGCCCTCAAATCCATTCGGACCCCTAGTGGCCCCAACAGAACAGAGCAGAGCTGCTCCTTTGGGGTGTCTGAGACTGGAGCTTTTTCTGGGAGTAGAAAGCTCCATCTTTCTCCCAAAAGGACAAGCAGAGGTCTCTAAATAACAGCTGGTCCTTTAAAAAGCAAAGTAAGAAAAAGGGGGAGTTTTCCATTGAAAAGAAAATCAAAGGTATTATCTCAGGAGAACCAAAAAAACCTCATTAGTTGAGTATGGACATTATTTCTGATATGTCCTTGTGTTTTCTCAGATGCATAATCCACATTCCTTCAAACACGTGTTTTTCTACAAGAACCAACATGCTTCCACAATTATACCAAGCCACATTTGAGGATTGAAGCTCTCAATTGCACATAGAAAGCCAAAACAGAGCCAAACAAGTTCTTTATATTTTTGTGCTTTCCTGTAAATAAAAATTATATACAAAAGCTACCTATATTGACAAGTGGGACTTCACTTAGAATATTCCACATCTGTGAATCAATTGGAGGGTCTATCACAGAAAACACTTTGTCTGTAGGGAATTCTTTGAGCTGTGGTTCTTAGCATGGTGACAGCAGATTCAGTGTGTCTCTATTCTCCCTGCTTGCCACCAAAGGCCAAGGTTTAGGGTTCAGTATCTTTCCATCAAATTATTCAAGAATGGCTAAAAAATACTATTCAAAATCAGCATCACTCACATTATGAGACTCTTTTTGAGTGGTGCATAAAGTGATCGAGCGAGAACACCAACTTACACCAAGTTTTAGTAACTTGGCAACCTGAAGAATATCCATTTGCAAAAACCCAGGATGCACATTTCTTCCTATGCAGGTATAGACAAATACTGGCAAAATACAGGCAAACAGTAATCCCAGAAAATTCCACTTTATCTATTGAATCACCTAGATTTTCAGTTTATGGGTTTTTTGTTGTTGTTGTTGTTGCAAACAATATTCTTCACTTTGTCAAAACAAAAAAGAAAAATGTACATCTGCACACATAGCTGTTCATTGCTATGGCCATGAGGTACATGTGCGCACCAAATCTACCAGTTTCTTGCTTTTTGGTTGATTTGGATTTTCACAAGAGCTTAACAAGAATCAGATTGACTTTGTGAGCAATCTGATCGGGAGGGTAAAACAAAACATGGGATTGACTAGCTTACAACCCAGTGTTTTGGTTTTTTGTCTTATGAGACACAAACTGTAATTTTGAAAATTGGCTCTATTGGGTTATTCATCTAGATGATGAAAACGTCTTAAATTTTGATAGCAAGACTCTAACTAATCCTGGGAACCTGAGAGAATTTCTGGACTTCCCTGCATGCTGCTCAGACAGAGCTGCAGGGTATGTATACACAGTGGACACCTAAAGGAAGGTCAGCGCCTGAAGATTTCTTTTGTTTTGATGATAATATACACAGCAGATCACATACCCATTTACTGATGTCTGAAGGTCTAGTTCAATGGCATTGGTTACATTCTTCCTATCGTGCCACCCCTCCCACCCTCTCTCCAAATGGCTTCAAACCCAATGACTGCCAGGCAGTACCTCACAAACAACTTGCTTATGCTTTAGAGACACCTTTGTCCATTTTATTTAATATAAATAATTCTTTAAACTCATAGAAATTTGAAATGTTGTTCCATATTTCCCCATTTGAAATCAGGACTCATTTACTTAATACTTGGTCAAAATATTCCGTCGCGTAGCCAGGCACTGCCCTGCTGTTTTTGTCTCACAGTCAAGAAGACAGTAGTTCAAGGAGGCAACTTGGGCTTTCCGTCCAGTTCCTTCTCTGATCTCTAGGCCTCTTTCCAGTTGAACATGGATTACTACAACTACGATCACACTGTGGGTATCTTTTTAGAGGACAAAGATCTGGGGATCTCTCAAAGGAGTCTTTCTTTCCAAAAAGGTGCTCAGAATTAGGAGGCAAAAAACTCACCTCCATGTTATATATGCACTGTCCTATCAACAAAACTACTTGTTAGCTCAATGTCTCCCCTCTCCTTGCATAAACTCATCTATTGATTGTGCTGTTATCTATTTCAAGCAGACTCCATCCTTCTTCAGCCTGATTTGCACATAATTAAATACAAAATAAATAAATAAAGAGCGCTCCTGTTGGGGCTCTGGTTTATTTACATGAAGCTGCTCCTCTGCCACCTGGATTTGGATTTCAAAGTGAGAAGCACATATGGCACACAAGAGGCTGCTTGAAATTGGGCCACCAAGAGACCTGGTGTCGCCCATCAGGCTCTGCCCTGTGTGTGCTAGACAGGTCAGAGTCCACTGTTCATTGGTCACAGCACTCAAAAGGTTCTAGGACTGGGTCTGTCCCTGAAGTTAAGCTTTAAGGGTTAAAAGTGAAAATTGGAAAGGTGGAGTTTGGGAGGCTTGGCCCCTCCCCTCCAGAGAAACCCTCTCAGAATGTCCCAAGGGGGTTGGGATCCATAGCTGGTCTCGAAATAGAAGCTCCAGGGTTGGGCAAGCATGCCTTGCAATGTGCCCTGCAGTCAGAGGCAAACACACAGTGCTTAAGAAAGAAGAAGTGGAATCAGCATTTCCAGAGGGCACTCTCACCCCCATCAAGGTCAGCCTCCAGCTGGTTTGCAACAACTTACCGGCTCTCTCGGTTGGCGGACTTGTATTCAATGGCTATCATTAGGAGCTTGAGCTTCACAAAACACAGCCTGCAACAAGATGGAGAAACCTCCCAATCAGCGCTTCTGGCCGACCAGAGTCACATAACAGTTATAACACGCGTATGTTCTAGCACAATCGTTATCCAAGGAAACCCTCATTCCACAGCCACTGTGCCAGAGGGGGTGGGGACGACACCTCACCATCGTCCCCATTAAACCTGATTTCTCACAAGTGATAAGGCACCGAAGGTTCAAAGGACACATTACACTCAGGGCTGGATGTCTAGACACAGCCCCTCAACAGGGATTTGTGCCTGGGGATTTACGCCAGGCCAGACTCATTAGTTACACAGTTGGATAGTAAAATGTTAACTATGGGCGGGCGGGCGGAGGAAGCAGCTGAACCTGCTATTTGGAATCCGTTCGGGTCTTTTGTACAAAGGGTATAAATTGCTGTTCCAAGCAGACCTCTGTGCACTCAGGATGACAAGCCTCCTCCTTAGCCTCTAAGGAAGTACCCAGCACACTACGATGGCACTGTCATCCCCGGCCCTCTGCAAGCAGTCTCACGTCGACTGGCCTGCCTTGACTGTAGTCCGCCCAGGCTGCTTTGATGGCGGACTGTTGTCGTCTCCAAGCCTTCACTCAGACGCTGCTCCCATCTCCAATGGTCACTCCCTATCCATTCGCACAGGCCACTTCAGATGTAAGGCTTCTATGGAGGTCTTCTCCAGTGACCGCCACCTTCTGATTTTGCATTCTTTGAACCCCACAGTATTTTCAGTCACCTCATCTGTAAATTCACGTGAAATGTGGACATGGAATAAGGAAGACTGAAGAAGTAATACAGTTGAATCAACGTGCTGACAAAGAGTATTGAAACAAACAAATCTGTCTCCAAAGAGGAACAGCCAGGGTGCTCCATTGAAGCAAGGATGGTGAGATTTCATCGCACATCCTTGAGACATGTTGCAGGACAGATCAGTCCAGGCAAAAGGACATCATGCTCAGTCATGTAAGGCAAAAGAGGACCATTGTTGATGAGCTGGATTGGCACGGGGCTACAACGAGGGGCTTCAGTATACAAACAATAGTGAGGAGGGCACAGGACTGGTCAGCAGGGCTCCTGCTCTCCTCGGGGTATACATAGGTCGCTAGGAGTTGAAACCAACGCAACGTCACCTGACAACAACAACAACAACAACAGAAGTCCTTTAGCACCTGACAGAACCACCGACTTGAGTGCTCATTTCATTTCCGCCTGCCTTTGGTCCTCCCCCAAGGTCAGGTGTCTGAGCTTCATCTCTTCAACTCCTGCAACTTCTCTAAGGACTTGGGGCTTGTTGAGAATTCCCCTTCGTGCTGAAGAGCTACTAAAGCACCAAACTTCTAGATAAGAATAATAAACAAATTATGGGTTTCAATTCTAAGGAAATTATGGGTGGACTGGGAAGACATTTATGCACAAAGATGTTCAGGATTAGTGTGATCTACAGAGAATAAAAATTTAGCAACCTCAATGACCAATAATAGGGAAAGAGTTGAATGAAAAACAGTTCTATATGATTTTATACAGTTTTCAGAATGACTTCTTAAAGAATTTTAAATTCAAACGTAAGCTAAGCAAATAATATTATGTAGAAAGATACAAAAATGCAATGTGATATAATAAGGCAAAAATATATAGTCATATATCCACGGAAGCCCACATAATGCAAAAAAGAATTACTGTACTTAATTTTTTCTACATATGACACACCCATATATTCACCACATATACATATATAATGCACAGCGTGCATATGTGATTTGCAAACAAATGCATATTGCATGCATTATTTGCATAAAATACAGTATAGATAGTTCATGTTATGTGTTTGTAAAAAGAGTGTTTATGCTTTTAGGACTTTCTGGATAATAAAATATTTGGTTGACTAACACACAGAAATGAATTGATAGTTATTTAGGGTTACAGATTGGGGCCTTTTTAAATCATCTCTTTGAATTCCCACATTATCCCTAAGAGGGAGTTATTACCCAGGTTTCAGACTTCTACAGCTATCTCCATTTCACAGATGATAAAACCCAGGTTTAGAAAGGTCATGTAACTTGTCCAAGGTCACCTACTCATACTTGGCAGGCTACCCAATATCCTTGCCCCAATGAAGCCTATTTTACATTTGCAGAGACAGGCAATAAAACAACAAACAAGTGGATAAAAAGAATATATTTCCAGATGATGTCAAGTGCTATACAGAATATAAAACAATCTAAGAGAACAATGGGAGACTGGGAAGGGTTATGTCAATAAAGCTGGTCTAGGCAGGTCTTCTTCAGGAAGCAACGCTGGGAAAGAGAACACTAGAGCACGCTGCAGAAGCAGACCCTAAGAGGAGCTGTTGAGAGAGCTTTGTAGGCAGGGCAAACAGTAAGTGAGCTGGGGGTCTGTGAGATCCAGCAATAAAGCCGGGGAGCCTGGAGCTCTCTATAAGTAAAGTTGTGAGTGACAGTAATCAGGGGAGAGATATTACTGGGAATGAATTCATGAGGGTCTTCGTGGCCCTGGAAGGGATTTGAAGCATCTTCTAAGTGGACTGGGAAGCGAGATATCATAGGTGTTGGATATGGGGATGGGTTGCTTCTGGGGAAAGTGCTAGCCAAGGTCTCATGTTCTGTAGTACAAATGAAGTCAATGCCCTTTCCTCATGTGAGGCTTTGGCTCTAGCATGGCTTTAAACAGACAACTATATTCTACAGTTCCACTTTACTCAGGCATACTTTAACCCTTCCGGTAATCTGCAGTCTTTTTTCTGCCAAGAGACTCTAGTGGCTTGGGCTTTGTGCTACTTAGGCAGTTTGCTGAAACACCAATCCATGTATCCAACTGTAACTGGGAAAATGTCCTTCTTAGTTTATGTCCATACGCACTGCCATTGATTCAACTTCAACTCAAAGTGCACCTATAGGACATATAGTACCCGTTAGGACAGAGGAGAAGCAGCCCTTTGTGTTTCAGAGCCGTTACATCTTTACAGGAGTAGAGAGTCTCATCTTTACCCTGAGGGGTGGCTGGTGTTAATCAATAAAGACTGCACAGTATGTTAAAACGGAATAAAATAGGCCACAATTTAGCAACAATTGAATTCTTGGGAAAATAAAAATGTGTCAAAATGTCCAATGCAGGAAGTTGTGGCTGGTTGCCAATATAGTAACAGGGGACTAGAAATGACTTTTGGCGGGGGGAGTAAATGTAACTTATCACCCCCAAAATATGTAAAATAAATTCAGTCATCAAGACAATTGACTCATAGCAAGTCTACACAAGGTGTGGTAGAACTGGCGTGGTGCGGTGAGTTTTGGAGGCTGGGAGAAAGCCTGGTCTCTCTCCTGTGCAATGGATGGTGGTGTCAACCTGCTGACTGCGTGGTTAACAGTGCAACTCAGACCCACTATTCCACCGGGGGTCCTTGTGCCACACACCAGCAATCTGAAATAAAACTGCTGTAATAACAAATTATAATAATTATTAATAGAGGCCTACCAAATTTGATATGGCATTATTTGAAAGCTCTTTTCCTGCCAACATCATCTGTTAACTGCAGTAGTTTGAACATAGATGTTCTTGAGCAAAGGCTCTTAAGAATTAGAGTCTAGCTGTTTCTACCTACTCAGAAGGAAATAAATTGTTCTTACTATTAAATCAGATTCCTAGATTACAAAGATTATTTGCTGGGGTGAATTAAGCATGGAAACCTGTGGGAGAGCGTGTGCCTTCTCTTGTATTCAGGAAGAGTATGCAAAGATGTGGCTTGGGGCTCCTGAAGTTGGCTCACCCAGGACTGCAGGGGGGCAGAGGAGGCAGCCACCGGTGTGCTTTCCTCACGGAGCTCTGCCCACGGACGTCCTCCTGCCACGATGCAGAGGGACCTTGAGACTACTGGGCTGATAGATGCAATCAGAACAGACGTGGATGTAAATACTGTATATTGGAAAACCACGTCCCTACGATCATGAGACTTGTGCGTGTCCCTTTAAAATGTTCTTTGAGTTTGGGAAGCAAAACGAAGTCTGATGGTGCCGACTCAGGGCTGTAGAGCGGATGGCGGAAGGCTTCCCAATGGAATTCTCACACGACAGCAAGGATAATCTTTGAAGAATGAGCAAGTGTGTTTTTGTGATAGGAAAATATTGGGAGTCAGAATGGACTCAGTGATAGCTTATAACAACCACTAAACAGTATAGAGTCTTCAATATCTCATTCACATCTGCATTCTTGGATATTCAATACTAACTACAATCTTGATGAATAGGGCAAGTTCTTGGAGGAAAAATATTTTTTTCAAATGTAAACTTGGAACCCCTCCACAATTTCTCCAAATGGTCACTCTGTATCAGTCTGCAGAACTCTAGCACATAGCCATCAGGTCTGCCTGGTTTCTTTCCACCTCATGTTCAAATCCCAATGTCTTTCCCTAAAAAACTAAGTTTTTCATAGAAGTCAAGTTTCAGTTGGATGAGGAGCTTAGCTTTATATGTATCAATTTCATTTCTAAAGTTCTTTAAGCACCTTAAAAAAAATCTCTTCATGCAAAACAGTAGAACAGGAGAGTATAGTCTTACAGAAGGTTTAGGGACCTTGGGGAACCCTGGTGATATAGTAGTTACACGTTGGGCTGCTAACTGCAAGGTCAGTAGTTTGAAACCACTAGCTGGTCCCAGGAAGAAAGATGAGGCTTTCTAATACCATAGGAGTTCAGTTTCGGAACCCCACAGGGGTAATTCTCTCTGTCCTATAGGGTCATTCTGATCAAATTTGACTCGGCGGCAGGGAGTTTGGCTTTGGTTTTGGAGGCACGCTGAATGCATCCATCCATCCATTGTGTCAGGCACATTTGTACACTTGTTCCCATCATCATTCTCAAAACATTTTCTTTCTACTTGAGCCCTTGGTAACAGCTCCTCATCTTCCCCCACCCTCCCTCATGAATCCTTGATAATTCATAAATTATTTTTTCCCTGTCTTACACTGACCGATGTCTCCCTTAACCCACTTCACTGTTGTCTGTCT